TTCTAAAGTCATTTGGATTTTCTTCCAAGCATGCATGTCTATTCTTGCAGCTTCCATTTTTTAAAAAAGTATTATTTCTTTTTCTTCCTCTTTTGGTTGACAGTAGGTCTGAATTCTAAAATGTCCTCTCGGTGTAAGCAATAAATTCCATCTAAAATGATATCATCTGAAAATATTACACTATCCAAACAAGTTCCTCACTTTATACCTTCCGAACCAGTGACTGATAATAAACATCATGTTCTGACATTGCAATAACTATATTTGAAAATTATACAAGCAAGTAATTACTTTTGACATCATGTCTAGCCTTCCAAAAACCAACAAAACCATACTGTGTTTCCTGAATTCTTAGTTTTGTTGCCTTCTACCTTTCATTTTATTTTGTGCACACAATGAGAGAAATCAGACTATATTGACATCTCTGTTGTAAATGCTTATCTTACAGTTTCAAGTACCTGACTGATACAATAATACATTCTCTAATTTTGATACTGTATTGTATCAAACACCCAAAGCAGGACGGCTTTGTTAGTACTCTAGTGTTCCCATTAGTGCTCAGCCAAGAAGAGGAAATGTAGAAAAATTGCTCAGTCTGTTCTTTTTTTTTTTTAACCCTTAAAATGTCCAAGAGTTTTGCCTGATTAGGAGCGTCCAAATTTTCTTTGATTTCCCCATGAGGAGAAATTACTTAAAAAAGGAAGTAGGAAATAACTACAATGAATACCAATGGCATTAACTATGACATCTAAATGAAATATTTTTGTTCACTGGCATATGTTAAGAGGGGGAAAAAAGAATTGGGTGGTCCCACATAACTGAAAAGAGGAGAAAGGAGGGCCCGGATTGCATAAAATTGCAATTGTATAGTTGCAAGTATAGAAATAATGATAGCATTTTAAGTATAAATAAAATATATATTCTGATGGATGGGAACATTGTGACTAAGTTATCCAGCAAAGCCTGCTGTCTTTTTTATGGTTATTTGTCTAAAGCAGTGGTTCTCAAACCTGGGGTCCCCAGATGTTCTTTCACTTCAACTCCCAGAAATTCTGGCCACCACAGCAAGTGGTAAAAGCTTTTGGGAATTGTAGTCCAAGAACATCTAGGGGGGCAGCTTGAGAACCAGTGGTCTAAAGCACCTTCAATTGAAAAGTTGTCGAAATGGCTAGCAGAATCTGAAACCACCTAAGAAATTGTATGTGTTTTATCAGCTTTCTTTTTATTTACCCCTGAACATGTCCAAGAGTTTTACCTGATTAGGAATTTCCAAATTTGCTTTGATTTTCCCAGGAGGAGAAATTACCTGGCAACTCTTTGTCATGTTTTTCTTATAAGCTTCCAGGAAGCCTCTGCTTTTGGAAGAGAATGCTGGAGAAGACCTGCTTTCCTTTTGATCCAGCATGGCAGTAATTGTATAAATATGAGGTAAGTTCAAGAACAAAAGAGTGACTTTCCAAGATGTCCATAGAAAGGGAGGAAGAAAGATGATGCAAGGGTGTTGGATATATGGCAGTGCTGTGCTTGCTTACACTATGAGCCCTTAATTCTTGGGAAAGAAAATAAACCTTATGCAACTCATACACATTCAGTCCTATATCTGTTCTATCCAATTTCCAAAACAGTTCACACAAAAAAACCCATGAAAAATTATATTTATTTTCATGCATACTTTCTCCTAAGACATGTATTGGGGCTGAATGTTCTTAAATACATGGCTTTAACATTCAACTTTGTGTACAATATGTATTTTTGTGCACAATGTTTGAGCAAAGAACTGCTTCACAAAATTTGAAAGTGTACACAGCAAAGAATGACTGCAACATCCCACTTGACTTCTAGTTTAATGTTAAGAAGACAACAAAAAACCGAACTGATATCTGGAGATAACAAATCCAGAATGAAAATGCACGTCACAAACTTGAGCTGTGGGTAAACATAATAAAATACTTAGCATGAATATAAAATTTTGAAGCGGAAGCAGTAACGTGTAGTCCTCCCAATATTGTTGGATTACAACTCCCATTATCCTTCAAAACTGACTATATCAGTTTGGATTAATGCAGGCAGGCCATAAGTAGTTCAATTCTGCCTTCAATGTTCTTCCAGCTATATTTTCTGCCAGGAATCTTTCCAACCATTTTTCAGATAGGTTGATAATAATTAGCCCATTTGTAAATTGGGGATGAGGATTATGGCTGAATTCCTGGCAGAGGCAGAGTTTGAACCAGATAGGCCCTCATTCGTAGTTCTGTCTTTTACCTCTATGCCAAAAGACAAAAGATGACTGAGTGTTGTACTAATTACAGCTGCCTGACATTTTAATGTCATTACTTCCTGGAGGGGCAAAGTGCTTCCCTGCAAAATTATATTGCTAACCTCCCATAGAGCTCTTTAGCACTATGGGGCACTATATATAAGTTTAAACAATACATACATACTGTACATTGCTTTGAGTACTATTTCTAAGTGGAAAGACAATGCAAAAATGTCATGCATTCATGCATGGATGCAGGCATACTGTACATAGATACTGTACCTGCAAAACAGTGTCAGAAGGAACAGTTTTCTAAAAAGTCATTTCCAGCTAAAAAAGGTTCTGCTTGATAATTGGCCTTCACTATTGGGAGCTGGCATTCAGAAAGGAGTTTTGCAGGGAGCGGATGTTTCATTTATGGGTGAGATCCTGCTAATGCTTTCCACGGGCATGCAGAGACAATTGCACAGCCTTTTTGTCCCACTCCAACTGGCTTCCCAGGGCGGAAAGGATGGCACAGCCAATTTTGCACCCAGCGTGAGACTAAGCAGACAAAGGGGAGCCTCCTGTAGTGGCGGACGGGAGGACACAATTGCATAAATGAATAGGATACTTGTCTTTTGCCCCGAGGGCCAATCCTATTAATATATTGTCCAGAACTGATCTTGCTCACTCTTAATACTTCTATGCCTGATTTATGGCGACCCTTTTCAATGTTTAAGAGCACTCGGAAGTGGTTGCTCCTTTCTTCTGGGAGCACCCTGGGACTGCGCAGCTTGCCCAAGGCCACACAGGAAGGCTCTTCTCCTGGGATACACCATGGGGAATTGAACTCCCAACCTTCGGCTCCACAGCCAGATATCTAACTCCACAGCTGTTCACTCTTTGGCCCATTGATTTTATTCACATAATAATTCATTGCGTGACAACTAGAAGCCATGTTCTATCTTCCCCTCCCCCCAAGGGACAAAATTGGCCTGTGAATTGTACTGAGATGCTTGCACAAATTCCTCTAACACTGCTTCGTAGCATCTGCTTTTGAATCTCAATCCACTCCTCCTTTAGCCCTTGGCTCTAATAAGGGCAGCACTCCTTGCTGGTCCAAATAGTAGCCGCTGTCTTTCAATACAATGAGAGCTCTCCTTGGGGGGAAAACTAAACTGCTCTCAGCGTTCTAATAAGACAAATGTCTTCTCTTTTTTTACTTGCTTAATAGTGGGCAATGATTGGCTAGTTGTTGTTGTTGTTGCTGCTTCCATGCTCTTTCTTAGCCTGTGCACTCCTGCTTCCTCTGGGCTGCTTTATTGGCTTTGGATGCCCCACATAGTTACTGCCTCCTTAGCCTTTTCGCTCCAGCTCCTTGGAGATGGCAGTTGCCCGGCAGCTGCCCTGAGGCAGCAGGAACTGTGGCCTGAATGCAAGATATACCTTTTCACTCAACCTGTGTGACTCTGAAGGAATCCTGCAAAAAGGCCAACCGATTTCTACTCATATTACAAACATCACTATAGATGGGTCAGGGATTAGGGATTAGGAAAACCTGAGAGTGCTGGTCTGGTAGCTTTGGGCATGAGGCCATGAGAGCGTGCCTGATACTCTGGCAAAGTTCTTGCGTCTGAAAGAATCTGGGAGGCCCTTTTAGTTGCTTGCTTTGATGGGAAGCGCCAAAAGGATATCGTCAGCAGAGGCAACAGGAGTGCTTTGCCCTTTAGGAAAGTTGCTGGTGGTGTGTCCAAGAGGACAAAAGAGCACATTACTGCTTGTATTGATGCTTGTTATTTGGGAGGAATGCTCTTGAAGATTTGAAAAGGACCCATGGTCATATTGTTTCCAAATGCCTACCCCAAAAGCTCAGCCATCACTAACTAGTCTTTTGGCCCCACCCATTTTGGCTTATGCAGGTAAGCATCAAACAGGTCCATTGCCTTCAGGGAAACTGATCTGACAAGACTTAAGAGGACATCCATCCATCCTTCCTTCCTTCCTTTCAGTGTGCAGAAAATAAAGATAACACTTTACTGAATGGTAACTTAACCACACTCAGGACCAGCTCTACCTTTGTGCAGAAGTGCGACATTTGCCTTAGACAGCTGATTTAAGGTGTCACCAAATAGCAGAAATTTGTTAGGTATTTAATTGACCATGGCTGAGGGTATTTTGGTTTTGTTTTTTTTTAAACTACCAGTACGAAACAATTTCTCTCCCAAGATGCAAAAATCACTTAACCAGCCTTGGATGTTATGTACCTTGACTTGGGAAATGGCGCAACATTCTCACAGTATCAGGTAGGAGTCCATATCAGACAGCAAAATGCCTTAACACAGTGTGCCTCTAACCACTTGGAACACTTAAAACCTTTATAATTGCCTTGCCTCATGAGGAGAATCTAACCATATTGCTGCTTCCCTAAGTTTGTCTCATCAGGTACAGAAGTGTAGCAGGATTTTCATCATCACGTTGCAGGACAGTACAGTAGACTAAGCTACTATAGGCACATCAGGCTCTGTCAGCATTCGGCAAATTTTACATTTGTATTAGCTTTGATAAAGTCATGTGTCACCTGTTTTTTTCCCTTTAATCAAGTCAAAAGGTAGCAGAAGCACAACCTTTATGACTTTGGTGATGTATATGTGGAAAGAGGAACCAAGCCCCGTAATGATAAACCATTTATTTCTCAAGAAACCACGTTAAGAAGCTCTTATTTTGCACATAGATTGTGTATTTTATAAGCCTTTGTACCAACCTGAACCAGTCCAGGGGTAAGGCGTTTTGCTTTCAGCCATTTCTGGAATCTTTCTGTCTTCCACAGCGTTCGTTCAATGCTGCAGCTTTTAGCATGGGTAAGCGATGTGCATATTCTCTTGTCAGATTGATCATGTTGATATTTTGTGGCTAATCTGGAGATTTCAACTGGCCGCCAGTTTTTGCTGTCATCCGAGTAGTTCCCAGAGTAGCACGAGAGATAGTTGGGAGGGAGCTTTAAACGGGAAGAAAGCCAGCTGTCAAACCTGTCATCAGATCAAGACATAGAGCATCGTTAATCCACCTTAAACCAAGATGAGTGCCCACATACCATAGCTCCTGCCAATTTTCAGAGGTTCAGGTAGGATTCCAGACAGTTCTATAAAATGACTAAGTGGGTTACCCACTTTTTGTAGATAGCTGACCTTTGGCAAGAAAGCTTTAACTATTATAGTATCTCTCTCTCTCTCTCTCTCTCTCTCTCTCACACACACACACACACACACACACACACAGAGAGAGAGAGAGGGGGGGGGAGAGAGAGAGAGAGAGAGCGAGCATTTTCTGTCTGTAATTGTATTGCTATGAAGAGTTCTAGAGAAAACCTTTCCTTTTGGCCATGTTGACTGGATTCTTCTGGGAGACATGGTCCAGAAACCTAATTATCCACCCTCTGTCCTTGATGTATTTTTAAATGCATTGTCCTAGTTTTCATATAAAATAACTGCAAAGCATTTACAAACAGGCTTACCTCTGTCTTGCCTTTCTAAAGCTGATTGATAACAGTTGCTAATGAAAGCCTTGCATTTACTTGTTCTCCATACTTATTAGGACTCTGCTGACAGTAAATAACTGCTAAATGAACATTAATTAAGTAGTCCACTGTAAGACTCCACTTGTGTGCCTTTTGGCAGCAACCTGATATGACAAAATTTAGTGATGCTTTAGCTACTGTTGGGCTATGAGAGAAAGAACTTTATCTACTAAATATGTTTATGCCACCAGAAAGTGTTACTATAGCTTCAGAATTAGCCTGGCTGATTGAAACCTGTAAACATAGGCCAGTTGTCTTTAAAGGCATCTTCAATAATCCCAAAGTGTGTGTGCCTAATCTGAAGACTCAGAAGAAGTACTTTTACCTTTGCACCTTTCTTCTGGTTATTTTAATGTCTACTGTAATTGTATTGCTCATGTATGAGAGGATGAGGGGCAGAGAAATTACATATTTTTTACTCCAGCTTCCAGAATTCCCTGGCCGACATGGTCAGCACCCTTCTCAGCTGAAGCATTCTGGGAGTTGGTAGTCTGAAAACGTAGCTTTCCTCAACTCTGTACAGGGTATAGAAAGCTACCATAAACTAAGTTGGCCCATCAGTGCACCAAGCCCAGCATTGTTAACATTGACTCGCAGCATATCTCTGGGTTTTCAGGCAGGATTTTCCCCCTTTCCTGTCTGGATATGTCATGAGATTGAATCTGGGACCATCTACTGTACATGCAAAACGTGTGTTCCACCACTGAATTACAGCATGGACGGAAAAGAGCAGATACGGATTAAATGGTTTTCAATGCATTCCTATGGGAAATGCAGATTCAACATAAGAACTTTTCAACTTGAGAACCACCTTCCAATACGGATTAAGTTCTTAAGTAGAGACCCCACTGTACAGCCATTACCAACAGGAATGGGGGACATTTGTAATGCAAATAGACATTATGATCAATGTAGGTTTTGCACTTAATACTTCTAAACCTGATGAATGCCTTTCATTTGAACATTAAGCAACACTTAAATATGTGCATCAAGTATGTGAAACTTGATCTTAAAAATGCCAGATTCAGCTTATCCACGTGAACGCATAGACCTCCTCTGCAATGAACCCTTCTTGGCGTCAACTCTGCATCAATAAAATGGGAATCCCCAAGGTATGAATAACAGGGTTCCTGTGAGGATAATGCAGACAAAACTTTAAAAAGTGTTGTAATGATTCATAATTGCAAATGAAGTTGTTAAAATTGCTGCATCCTATCGCTTAGCACTCAGCACAAACAACAAAGCAAATTACATGGATCTTTTTATCTGGCATACTTTAGAGCAGAGTGAAAAGGCTGTGGAAACATGACTTTATCTGCCTTTAATTGCACACCAAGTAGCACATCTAACCAGTTCACTGATCACCTGGCATGCTTGGTGGAGACTCATCAAGGGTGGTACCCAGATAATAGTTGACTCTTTTATCGGTTTCTTTCATCTGAGACTTCAGAGCATTTCATGTAGATCAATTAATTACATTACTCAGTAGGGTGGGGGACCCAGTGATCCCATTTTACTAATGAGAGTTAATCCAGATAAAGATAAGAAAGGAATGGTAGCATGAAGTTATATGTGAATTTAATTAAATAAGTGAGTAGACTTCACTAGTCAGCACTTCCTACTAATGAATACAGAATGGTTCAGATATACTTGCCATTGAAAGTCACTTCCTTGGCCTGAAAGGAAATGAATAAAGTGTGCCAGATTTGGGGGAGAGGTAGTATCTCGCCTGATCTCAATCAGAATCTCTCATCCCTGCAAGCCAGATAGGACCTGATTCTCTCTGGTAGCCTCTTTCATCCAGCAACACTGCTGCAGAGTGCAGCTCTGAAGAATCATATGCTCCATATTTTAGAGCAGCCTTCCCACATTGAGGACATGCTGGGTGCCGATGGTGAGAGTTCCAGTTAACATAGGTCTGGGGGAGTGTTCTAGATGAACAACTGTGTCGACCTGTAGCAGCAAAATCAACCATTGATACTTGCAACACCTTACAAAGTGGAGTAAAAATAGTCCTGCTGTCAGCTTTCATGGGGAAGAGCCTTCAACATGACACACAGGAAATGCTCACAAGGGCTACCCCTTAGCAGAGATAAAGTGTCCACTTCAGGCTGTGGATATAGTGTCTCATGGAAGAGTGGCTGGGTAAAACCAACTAGTGAACGCTGCATGTTCATTTAGTTGTTTATTATTGTCCTCATCCAGCAACATTGCTGCAGAGTGCAGCAGAGTACAGCCCTGAAGAATCATGTGCTCCATATTTTAGAGCAGCCTTCCCAAATTGAGGACATGCTGGGTGCGGATGATGAGAGTTCCAGTTAACAGGTCTGGGGGAGTGTTCTAGATAAACAGCTGTGTCAACCTGTAGCAGCAAAATCAACCATTGATACTTGCAACACCTTACAAAGTGGAGTAAAAATAGTCCTGCTGTCAGCTTTCATGTGAAAGAGCCTTCGACATGACACACAGGAAATGCTCACAAGGGCTACCCCTTAGCAGAGATAAAGTGTCCACTTCAGGCTGTGGATATAGTGTCTCATGGAAGAGTGGCTGGGTAAAACCAACTAGTGAACGCTGCATGTTCATTTAGTTGTTTATTATTGTCTTCTTATTTGCCAGTAATGCAGGGAGATGCTTATAAGATTTTTCACCTTGTTGATGAGCCTAGTACCAGGCCAACACATTTTCTTCCCTAAAATAGAGCAGGGAATTCCCCCTCCCCATTAAAGGTACATACAATCCAAAGCCAGGCAAAAAAAAAATTTACTTCAAATTATATAATTATATAATCTGAATAATATATATATATTATTTGAAAAAATGGGAGAGGCACTTGTAGAGGTTTCTGCTATATGTATAAAACAATAAAATTCTACAGAATCCTCAAAACTACTCCAGAAAAACATGGATAAAGCATAAGACTCTAAAAGTAGCCGAGGAAAACAGTACATGAGAAGGAAACCAATCATCATCAGACCTACGCAAGAGACAACTGTACTTTAAAGTTCACACTTATAATCACATCACCATTCTCATCCTCATCTTCATCCTCAGTTCATCAGCAGGAAACAGTACAGATGACAAAGAGAAATCATCATGATTATCATCATCATCACAGCTATGTAAGGTGACACTAATTTATATTCATCGTTATCATCATCATCAAGTCATCATAATTAACAACAATCACAGCAAGCTGTTGTCAGTGCCTTGTCCCACCCACACCAACAGTCAGTTCTCAGACTGCACAAGTAACTTTTCAGGAATGAAATAAAGTGCCTCTTTCATGATGTATTTCATTTGTTACTATCTGAAAGTCCCATTCCTAGTGGTTTCCTCATTCTGGCTAATGGTAGGACTGACCCTATGCAACTTCCCCTTAAGTTTAGCTCACTAGAGAATGACTGGGCTGCATTTCTTGATAAGGTTCTTAAACATCTTCTCAGTGCAAACACCACCGTCTCTTTCGCAACCAAGGATAGTCTTCGTTTTGCAGTGGTGCCCCAGTTTGGCATTCAGAGATGAAGAAAGGTACCCCACTTTCCTCAAGTATAAAAAGAAACTGAATGGTGCAGAGTAGCACCTAAATAAAGTTTACTTTGGAAAGACTTGGGGAATGTAGGTTCAGTTCTTGCCTAGTGTCTGAATAATTGCTGCCTTTGATCTTTGGAACTGTTTTTCCAAAGCAGTGATTCTATTTTTGCTTTTTTCCCCCCACCCCTCTGTAGCTAGGAATGCTTTCCTTTATGTGAAAAGTATGGCCTTGCAGACATTTTAGAACTAGGACCGGATTAAGACAAGCCAAGGCCCAAAGCTGTTTAACAGGCCCCATTACATTGTGTAAAACCTGAAACTCAGTATTGTATAAGGTATATAGAAGCCCATCATAGTTTTGGGAGCTGAGCTGTAGCTTACTTGGCTAGTCCATTAATCCAGCACTACTTAAAGCTGTTTTCACACTATACAGAAACAAGCTCACTTTGTCCCCAAATGGATTCCTACACTGAGCAAGGGATTGGACTTGATGTCCCCATAGAACTACATTATTCTACGATTCTGTGATATTCCCCTTTGTTCTGAAGACTTTCTGATTCTGCTTTCTGTTGTCTTATCTTAGATTTGTAAAATGTTGGTTTTTATTTTCTGAAGAAGGCAGTGGGGAACAGCATGGTTAACCTTCAATAGTCTACAAGACCAATAATGTTGCATAATTTTTATTATTTATTTATTTATTTTATTTATATCCCGCCTATCTGGTCGTGTGAGGACCACTCTAGGCGGCTAACAAGATAAAAGTAATACAATAATATACATATAACCATTTTACATAACGAAAAAGAGAAAAAAATACTAAACAAAATGGGAGAGCTATAGGAGAAGGGAAAAGTCATCAGGAGTTATCTGTTGGGAAGGCCTGCCTAAACATCCATGTTTTTAATTGTTTCTTAAAAATACCCAGCGAGGGAGCCGCGCGAATCTCAGGGGGTAGGTTGTTCCAGAGACATTAGTAAAACAAATAGGGAAAGAAGTTCTTCTGATTCCAATGAGAATGAATTAAGCTTGTGCTTGGTGTTCTTGCTGAAATCAATGGAGCTCAAAATGGTGCCCCCTGTAGCTTTCCCGATATCATTAGTCAACATGTTTGAAATTAAGTGTATTCCATATGTACATATACCAAGATAGTTGTGTGCACAGGGTGGTGGTCAGTCAACTCATATTTTCAAATTTTATTTGGCATAAGCTTTCATGGACTCCAGCTCAGATGTATCCGATAAAGGGGGCTACAGGCAGTCCATGAAAGCATATGTCAGGTGATTTATTATTATTATTTTGTCCTCAAAGTGCCATAAGACTCTTTTTTGGTTTTGCTTCAACAGACTAGCATGGCTACCGTCCCCTCCCCTCAAAAAATTTTTTTACAGCCATCTACAAGCCTGTAATTCCAAACAACAGTATTGGTGCAATGCCACCGTTAAACAAGTTGTTCTTCTGACTTTTTCTGTTGGCCTAGCAGTAAAAACTGGGGATTTGCTACCGTTACTGTTGTGATCTTGTGTTACCTACATGTAGGCACATAGAAGGGATGACTTGTTGACAAAATCACATGTACGAGTTCCTTTCCCCAAAGCAAATGAAGTTTTAATAGCTAAGCCCCCACTTTCCCTTCTCCCCACCCCAAAGACGGTATGGAGAGATTCTGACCTTATTTCTTCTTTAAAGAATTTCTTGCAAATTGATGTTCCAATGCAGGCATTGCATTTATCAAGTCCCAAAAAGGTCCGGCCAAAACTGTAGCTGGGTTTGACCCGGGGCCCTGACGTTGGGGAAACTGTTGCTCCTGAAAAAGGGCTGCAGTTCAGAGTCCAACACAGGAGGGAGGCCAGCACCTTGAAGCACAGGTGGTGCAAAAAAGACCTCATCTTTAATATCTGCCAGCTTTAACTGTCGCTTCTGACATTCTGTGTTTGGAACTCAACTACATTTATACAAAAGGAGAAACTTGGCCCAGGAGACCTACAGCTTATAAAAAAAAAATCTTACCAGCTATTTGCAGGCTTCAGAGGTTTGATGTAAAGGAGCATGGTCTGGGGTTGGCACAAGGAAATACATGAGGATGCAGATAACTTTTGTTGCTATAGTTACCTTTCCTTTGGTAGGAGCAGCTGTTGGCTCGCCCATCCTCAAATGCAGAATGCAACAAAAGCTTTGCTCATCATAATGATGATGGAGACAAACAAAGGATATCCTGTGCAAGGAGACCAAGGTATTCAAAGTGAAATTAAGCAGAAACAGTTTCAGATATGGACAACAATTACAGCCCAAGAATTTGAAGCATTTTTAAAAAAAGGTCTTTTGTATCCTTACAGGTTTGTACTATTCCATGTGTTAAAATGCAAATCCTTATATTACAAAGGTTGCTTAAAAGTCTTTTTCATTAGTATGAAACAAGTGAATGTTATGGTTTCATCAAGCACACTTATGTTTCCCTTCTAAGCATTTATGCAGTCCAAAAGGTGGCTAGATTACATGCTTCTCAACTGTCTTGAACAACTTATTGTTACAAATCTTGCTGAAGGAAAATGGTGTCCTTTTGTTCTTTCCAGAGCTGAGCCCAAGGGCCAGAAACTGTGAGAACTGTTGGATTTCACACAATAGGTAGAAAACATATTTAATTAGGGCTGTGTAATGTAGACACTATATTGTATTTCAAGAAAAAGCCCTAGATTGCTATGGTAATTTGTTTGAGCATTTTGGATGAGCCTCAAATTTTCTAATGTGAGTGAGATAATAATAGGTTTAGGTGTCACTGATTCTGCATTGACAGTGACTGCTATTCTCCACCGTCTGCCAAACATTATATAAACTCCAGGAATATCAGAAAGAAAGAACAATTGGTAGCCTAAAGTGCTTTCCCCCTTTTATTCTTTTTCTTCTTTTATAAACAATTTTGTTTCAAAAACCACAATCATATTTGTTTACATGGTCTTTGAAATAATAAGGAAATTCCGAGAGGTGGTAATCCCCTTGGCAGCAATTTCCAAGCAGGTAGCTGTGTTAGTCTATCCCAACACGCTATGCAAAATTAAAGGGGGAAAGGAGGGGAAAAGAGGTGGGTTGGAAAAGACAAGATATTGTGGCACTTTAAAAGGTAACCGATTTACCCACAGCTCTGTTTGGTGCAAATTGAGCAACCACACAGTCCGCAGAAGGGGTAATCAGGAGCGCTCCCAGTTACACCAAATAAATTGCAGCCCTAGCAGTATGTTGGAAAAGGAGCAAAACAGTTCCCGAAAGGGCCAGGATGGCTCACTCTTATTTAAAACACATATGTACATATACCAAGATACTTCTGTGCACAGGGTGGTGGTCAGTCCACTCATATTTTCAAATTTTATTTGGCATAAGCTTTCATGGACAGAGACACTATGCACCATTGAATCCAGCCCCTGTCAAGGAGGCACAGTGGGGAATCAAACTCCCAACTTCTGGCTCCGCGGCCAGATACCTGAACCACTGAATGTTTTGAAGCTCAGGTGCCATTTAAATCTTATTGTTGTGCATTAACAACTATTGGGTTGCATCTGGAGGGTACCAGACCATAGGTAACTGTGGCCATGTCATCCCAGGGAGAATTTCAGTTGGTTCTCTAATCATGATTGACTTACAGGCAGGTGACATGACAAAAAATGAAACATATGTTATTTAGATCTGCTTCTATTTTCTCTGCTGCTGTTTTCAGCCTAACTTCTCTGTCTGATATGTGGATAAATCTTCTGTTCCTTGTCCTCCAGGCTAACAGATCTGCTGGTGTGTGTATAAAGGATTGGAATAGTTTACAAATTCATGGCTTGGTTGATCAACTAACCAAGTCTGATTAACCAACTAAAGTCTGCATTGATAGTAACTGGTTTGAAATGAATAATGGGCATTGATGAATTACTGTGTTGTGAACTATATTAGGACATCTTAGGTGGTGGCTTTGTTTGCATTACTGGGGAAGCACCCCATAAATACCCTGCCTTCTTGAACCATTGATTTTTGAAACATAATTCTTCCAGCAGTGCCCTTCTGCTAAAAGACATTTGATTAGTCTCCTTCAGCTTTACATTCATTCCCCCCTTTTGGTACACAGCCATGCTGCCTGAGCATGCTCAGAATTGTATTCTTACTGTTAGCAAAGAGGTAGCAAAGACAGCAGCTGAAACTATAAAATACTGTCATGTTGTGCTTCCTTCTTTCAACAGGAACTGAGTAGGCAAAAAGAAACCGGAAGGAGGGTGGTGAGTCACTAAAATTCTAGAAGCAGTGGGCTCTGCCATTATGTTTTAAAGTTAACACGTTATGCATTTCATCTATACAGCTGAACGACTTAGCTAGACTATGTAATTTTGCTGCATTTCCTCTTCCTAATTGGATGTAAAAGCAGCAGCAAATTTATTTGGGATGCCTCCTTGTCCATTGTACTTGAGAAAGAGAGAGGAAGAAAGGATGAGAAGTTTGTTTAAATGTTATTACAGCAAGTGTATTTCTTATGATGATCATTCCCTCCACAACTATGAAACTCACTGGGTGACCTTGTGCTGGTCATGCTCTATTAGCCTGACCTATCATTGTTATACGGCTGTTGTTGAAAAAGCCCTTATTAGGTCCTGTAATATTGAATAACTACCAACCTATCTCTAACATTCCGTTCTTAGACAAGGTGTTGGAACGAGTTGTGACTTCTGAGAACCAGGGATGAGACTGATGATCTAGATCTATTTCAGTCTGGTTTCAGACCTGGTTACGGGACAGAGACTGCTCTGATAATCTTGGTGGATGACCTATGCTGGGAATTAGACATGTCCTTGTTGGTTCTACTGAATCTCCCAGTAACTTTTGAAACCATTGACCATGGTATTCTGACCCATCTCTCTGGGATAAGACTTGGAGGCATTGTTTTACTGTTGCTCCAGTTCTTCCTGGAGGAGAGAACTCAGAAGGTGATGCTGAGCAACTCCTGTTCAACACTCTGGCTACTGGCCTACAGGGTCCCTGCTATGGTAATTTGTTTGAGCATTTTGGATGAGCCTCAAATTTTCTAATGTGAGTGAGATAATAATAGGTTTAGGTGTCACTGATTCTGCATTGACAGTGACTGCTATTCTCCACCGTCTGCCAAACATTATATAAACTCCAGGAATATCAGAAAGAAAGAACAATTGGAAGCCTAAAGTGCTTTCCCCCTTTTATTCTTTTTCTTCTTTTATAAACAATTTTGTTTCAAAAACCACAATCATATTTGTTTACATGGTCTTTGAAATAATAAGGAAATTCCGAGAGGTGGTAATCCCCTTGGCAGCAATTTCCAAGCAGGTAGCTGTGTTAGTCTATCCCAACACGCTATGCAAAATTAAAGGGGGAAAGGAGGGGAAAAGAGGTGGGTTGGAAAAGACAAGATATTGTGGCACTTTAAAAGGTAACCGATTTACCCACAGCTCTGTTTGGTGCAAATTGAGCAACCACACAGTCCGCAGAAGGGGTAATCAGGAGCGCTCCCAGTTACACCAAATAAATTGCAGCCCTAGCAGTATGTTGGAAAAGGAGCAAAACAGTTCCCGAAAGGGCCAGGATGGCTCACTCTTATTTAAAACACATGTGGTTGTCAGAAAATAGGGTAAACCTAACTGCATGAATAGTAAACCAAATAGTGAGGTCTATGTTTGTCTGATCATCCTCTTAAAGTGAAAGAGCAATGAATGGATAGTGCTAGGAGCCACCAGTCCAGAAGCATTCCAGTACTTCAGAGAAACAAATGGTTCACCAATCTTATCTTAGAATCTTATCTTAGAACTATTGTAAAGGGCAGAGACACTATGCACCATTGAATCCAGCCCCTGTCAAGGAGGCACAGTGGGGAATCAAACTCCCAACTTCTGGCTCCGCGGCCAGATACCTGAACCACTGAATGTTTTGAAGCTCAGGTGCCATTTAAATCTTATTGTTGTGCATTAACAACTATTGGGTTGCATCTGGAGGGTACCAGACCATAGGTAACTGTGGCCATGTCATCCCAGGGAGAATTTCAGTTGGTTCTCTAATCATGATTGACTTACAGGCAGGTGACATGACAAAAAATGAAACATATGTTATTTAGATCTGCTTCTATTTTCTCTGCTGCTGTTTTCAGCCTAACTTCTCTGTCTGATATGTGGATAAATCTTCTGTTCCTTGTCCTCCAGGCTAACAGATCTGCTGGTGTGTGTATAAAGGATTGGAATAGTTTACAAATTCATGGCTTGGTTGATCAACTAACCAAGTCTGATTAACCAACTAAAGTCTGCATTGATAGTAACTGGTTTGAAATGAATAATGGGCATTGATGAATTACTGTGTTGTGAACTATATTAGGACATCTTAGGTGGTGGCTTTGTTTGCATTACTGGGGAAGCACCCCATAAATACCCTGCCTTCTTGAACCATTGATTTTTGAAACATAATTCTTCCAGCAGTGCCCTTCTGCTAAAAGACATTTGATTAGTCTCCTTCAGCTTTACATTCATTCCCCCCTTTTGGTACACAGCCATGCTGCCTGAGCATGCTCAGAATTGTATTCTTACTGTTAGCAAAGAGGTAGCAAAGACAGCAGCTGAAACTATAAAATACTGTCATGTTGTGCTTCCTTCTTTCAACAGGAACTGAGTAGGCAAAAAGAAACCGGAAGGAGGGTGGTGAGTCACTAAAATTCTAGAAGCAGTGGGCTCTGCCATTATGTTTTAAAGTTAACACGTTATGCATTTCATCTATACAGCTGAACGACTTGGCTAGACTATGTAATTTTGCTGCATTTCCTCTTCCTAATTGGATGTAAAAGCAGCAGCAAATTTATTTGGGATGCCTCCTTGTCCATTGTACTTGAGAAAGAGAGAGGAAGAAAGGATGAGAAGTTTGTTTAAATGTTATTACAGCAAGTGTATTTCTTATGATGATCATTCCCTCCACAACTATGAAACTCACTGGGTGACCTTGTGCTGG